GGATGTATGTAACAAACAGCTCTGAAGCATCCTTCATAAACCACTTTTAACAGATAAATCGTATTTATTATATCCGAGCCACATAAAACAGGCCTAATGGCTAAAGTTAAGGAATTAGGGGCTTCCCTGGAGGCTCAGTGATGAAGAATCTGCCTGTCAATGCAGGAGACGCAGGTTCGATCCCTGATCCGAGAAGAGCCCACATGTTGCAGAGAAACTAAGCCCCTGATCCACGGCTATTGAGCCCGCGCTCGAGAGCCCAGGAGCTGCAGCTGCTGAAGCCCTGCCACCCCACAGCCCATGCTCCACAAGAGAAGCCACGCAATGGGAAGCCTGTGCGCTGCAACCAGAGCGGCCCCAACTCGCCGCAACTAGAGAACTGCCAGCTCAGCAAGGAGGGCACGGCGCAGCCTAAAATAAAGTAAAATCAGTATAATAATAATAAAGTGAAGGAACTAGAGACGAAACTATAGTTAGCCTAGGCTTTTACAGGATTTGGACTATATGTCTTTCATTTTCTGCTGTCCGAGTTCCGTAGGATGCTAGGATTGGGAGAAATCGTAGTGTTCATGTAATTTTAGTGTTTTTTTTTTTTTTTTTTAATTTTCTAANACTGACACATAGTAGGTGCTCAAGAAAACCTGCGTTGAATGAATATGACTCTATGAAGGAAGGTATAATTCAGTGAGGACATGCATGCTCCTCTCTCATGTTTCTCTCCTTTTGGACACACTTGTGAATACAGAGTTAGGGAACTGCTTTTAGGAAACGGGAGGAAACCTGACTTTACCATAGGGACTAACTGCAGTAACGTCTTTGCATTATATAAAATTCTATTGTGTTATTCTTAACTTTAAAATATCTGGATGTCAGAACCTTGCTTAAACATTATTGACAGAGGAATTGCTAAGTAAGTTTAAAAAAAGGTTGAGGCAGTACTCTGTCAATAATTTATGTGCTAATTATAAATTCAAACTAAACTCTTAGACCTCAAAGTGAGCGATGCTTTTCAGAGAGTTGGGTGGCTTGCTCCGGCTGTGACACTGTGGAAATTAGTTAAGTTCCTTCTCAGAGGCTGATCTTCATGCTTACTATGGCTAAGGCTGTAAGGCTAGCCCTTAGAAGGAAGTAAGCAGGAGAGTTGAACATGCACAGGTTTTTAAACCAAATGAAGTTGGGTTGCAACCCAGAGTCAGACACTTAGTAGTTGTGTGACTTCTAGCAATTGCAGCCTCTCCAAGGCCTCAGTTTATTTACCTGAAAAATCTATGTAGAAATATGAACATCAGAGGGTTGGCCTGAGGATTCAATGGGGATGACAAATACAATGTCCATTGTATAACAAAAAAAGCGAGTGCTCTTCCTATCATCTCCCTCCTTGGGTAACTTCTGACTTCAGTCGGAAATACCCACTTCTCAAAATATTTGGGGAGTACTGCTCCAGGGCGCAAGTCACGTGCCTTCATAAAGACAATGTGTACTCTACCCCTTCAACTTCCCCCGTGGCGCTAGTGGTAAAGAGCCTGCCTGTCAATGCAGGTTAGATAGAAGAGACACGGCTTTGACCCCTGGGCTGGGAAGATTCCCGGGAGGAGGAAAGAGCAACCCACTCCAGTATTCTTGCCTGTAGAATCCCACGGACAGAGGAGCCTGGGGGACCACAGTCCATGGGTTGAAAAGAGCCGGACACGACTGACGACTTTCACTTTCGACTAACCATTTCACTTTCACAAGAACATACAGCTTTTATGATGTGCCTTAAAACAAATAACTGTTCCATGCTCGTGATTCACCTAAAATCACTTCATGTACCGCTGCTGACACGACTGCAGTATACCACGCGGGAGTCCAAAACTCCTGTAGGTATTTTAGACAGAATGGGATTTAACACAGGGAAATACCTGTTTACAAAACCACTGGGAGTGCTGAAAGACTAACCTTAGCGGGGAGCCTTCAGGATTGACTTCCGTACACTCTAGAACTGTTCTACCAAGGTCATTTGAATATTTGTCTTATTAGTGATCAAAATTAAAGAGAGGTTATTTTTTAAAGGCTCCATCCCAAATCTTCATTGTTGCTAAAAACAAAAACCACTTATAAAAATCCTACTTCTGGTGAATCAGAAATGTCATCTTTAGTTATGAAGGACAACTTATCCACTCACTGATTTTATTTTTCTACCTATAACAGGTCTGTTCCATGTTTACACTGCATGTTTAATTGATTTTTAAACATATTTTTCCTTCTCATCTTTGTCTATTAACTTTTAATAATTATAAACAAAATGTTGTGGACTTATTTTTCACTTGATATTTTCCAATTACATACTTTTAAAACCACAGAATCAAAAACAAGTGACTAACTATAAAGGCCAACTGTACGGTGATGATTGATGCACAGAGCTTCATACATATCCCCATTATATTTTTAACAGCTTTGCCAAGATATATTCACCCATTGAAAGTTTTTTGGTATATTCATAGGGAGTACAACCATTTCGTACAACCAAAAATCTCTATCAAATTTCACCATTTTCTTTTAACTTATTTCTCTTAGCCTCACAGTTCTGCTATTTAGATTGCTTGTTCTTTTTTTTTTTTTTTAGATTGCTTATTCTTGCTTGCATGTGAGCACTCTCTCTCGGCTCCAGTAAAACTGCACAAGATGGGGTCAGAACGAGTCCCAGGTGGCTGCAGGCTGAGACTACTCCATTCAGCAGTACTTCCTTTTTTAAAGGTAAAGTAACTTAAATAAGCTATACAACCACTTCAACTACAATGTCAAGGGATGGCAACTCAGGCAGTGTGAAGAAGGAAGACACTGAGCAGGGTTCTACCAGTCCACATGGCAAAAGTCCAAAGAAAAGGAGGTAAGTACCGGTGGACGTCACTTGTTCCAGATGCACCCATTCTATTTTTCCTAAGAGTTCGTTAATTACGAGTCTGAGAATTTGGCAAACTACTGATACTAAATCTCCAGAGCTAAACATATTCTCCCTTTATCATCGCTGTTTGTTTTTTAAAGATCAGAATACAGTTTGTTCATGTCCAGCCTATGGCATCTTCTTGTAGGCAGGGAGCTGTTTTATTCATGGCTCTGATGCTTCCTGACACATAGTAGGGCCCTGATATATATATATTTGTTGAATAAATAAATTAATGAATGAAAACCTTTAATAAAGATTCCTCAAAACGTTATCATTACTTCTTTTACTATCTACTTTGGTAATAACTGTCATCTGCTAACTTGTATGGGTCCATCAGCCTTATCTTAAATGTCGCCTCCTTTGGGAAGCCCTCCTGATTCCCTAGGCTAAGTGCTCCTGAGCTCAACTTCCTCCCACACCCCTCTTATTAACTGATAAGAGCTCCATGTCAGAAGCTACTTTGTTCACCTATGTATCCCCATCACACAGTAGGTGCTTAATCAGTGCTTGCTGAAAAAAAATGATGTAAATTGGGATGTAATTTGTCCTGTCTTAAAGGCAAGAATGAATTTAATGTAGTCAACTATTCTTGTACTACTATTCATCTGTCCTGACTTTCAAGTCTTTTTTTTTAAGAAGCAACTTTATTGAGGCATAATTTACATACAATAACATTCATCCATTAAGTTCTTCTTACAAATATCTTTTCCTCTCTTATTACCCATGTGAAGGTAATTTTTTCTGATGGCAAAAATGGGAAGAAAATAGAAGTGGAATGTAGTAGAGTTTTGGATAGAGAATGGACTCCTTGAGGCCAGTTTACCAGGGTTTACTTCTCAGTCTTCCCTTTGAATTGTGATCTTAAAGGAAATTACCCTCCCCAAGCCATGGATTCTGAGCTGTAAAACTGCACTAAGAGTTTCTTCACTGTCTCCTCTAAGGGTTAAGTGAGATGACATGCAAAAAATCAGATCCACTGTAAAGGTTAAAAAAACTGTAAAAAAAAGAGGAAAAAAAAAGGCAGATCCCCTCCCTTCTCTCTCATCTTTTAACCTTGAATTCCCTAAATGGTAAGTCTGTTCTTTCACCATTATCATTGTTTTGTTCTGAGCATAAATGAAAAAATACCCAATCTTCTTGTTTCCTTACTATTCAGCAAGCCCTACTTCATTCTGAGGTTAAGCTTTCCTGTACTATTCTTACAGATTTTGTTCCACTTTTTATTCATTCTTAGGCATATGTAGTCTCCATCTTTTGAATATGCTGGTAGAAAAACCCAAACCCCACTTGAGATCATTAAAGAACAGTGGTTTCTTTAGCTGCCATTACCTTTCTTCTTCTACTGTATCATGAACTTAACATTTTATTTTCAAAGCCTCCCATTCCTTGAAAGAAAAAAAGTGCTTTTCCTTTTACAGCCTCTCGTCTTCAAATCATACCTGTCTTTTCACTGGATCTGTTTTCTAAAGGCTCCGACAGCCTGCCTTCTCTCTGTCTTGTATTACAGTCACATTCTCCCGTCTCTACCGCTTCCCCAAGACCAACCAATTCCTCCCTGGGAATCACATTACATCAGCATTACTAATGCAATAAATGCTATATTACAGACTATGTTTTCTTCTAGGCAGTCAATTAAAAATGAATCTCAGTGCTTGTTTGATTTAACATGGAGGATGAATTCTTTAAGGTCAAATGCAAACTGCGGCTAGATTTGGAAGACATATTTATATTCATATTAAATATATACCTGTTGAATTTGTTTTTTTTCTCAATGCTTCAGAGACTCTAAGCTTTCAGGTAATTGGGATGGTCGAAAGCGTGGTTTTCCAGAAACTTCGCAAAAAATTAGACTGCATCAAAAGGACTGCTCCACACATGCAAGAAACACCTACCAACAAAATCCATCTTCACAACCACCAGATTATCTCACCAGCAAGTGAGACTGCAAGGTTTGGGGGCTAGGCCGTACCACTTCGCGCTGCGCATGGGGGGATTCGTGCCCATTTGGCTGCGACTGACCGCTCCCCCTCGCTTGGTTTTGCCTTTGCTCCCCCTGCGCAGGCACCCACAGTGCGTCAGGCCGGCGCCTTATAGCGGCAGCCTGGGCGGCTCCGCTCGCCGTTTTCTCGCTTCTCTGGGTTGTGTTCTTTTCGAGGTCCGCCAAGATGCAGCTCAAACCGATGGAGATTAACCCCGAGGTGAGCGCCAGGTGCACGGTTACCCGGGGGTGGCGGGGAGCGCAGGGCCGAGGCTCAGCCCTCGCTAGGTAGCGTATCGCTGACTGATTTAATCTTTGCATTTTTTTTTTTGTACTTGCTTTTCAGATGCTGAACAAAGTGAGTGACGTCTCGCGCTGCCTCTGCCCTCCTCCCCCCGGGAGCACCGAGGCGCCCTCGGCTGTTTCGCGGAGACCCAGCGGCCCCCTGCGCACTCCAGAGGCGGCGGGGCTGGGGCGCGGCCCGGGCGCCGTCTTTCTGCTGCTGCATGGGGGGGCGGCGGTGACTCTGCGGAACCGGTGGGAGGTGGGCTGGAGGAGGCCGGGCCCAGAGGCGAGCGCCAGGCCGCGCTCCCGAGGGCGTGGCGCGGGGCGCGCGGGCTGGGATGCCCGGGCGTCGCGGGAGCCACGTGTGGGCCGCGCGCTTTGTGCTGTGTCACTGCGCCCGGCTGCGGTGGGGGCGGGGCGGGGCGGCGCCGGGCTCTGCCCGGGCCCGGGGCGGGGCGCGGGGATGCTCAGCCGCCGCCCCTCCTCCGGCGGTGCTCGCCCTGGCGGGTCTCCGCACTCGGCCACCGCGTCTCCTCTCCGCAGGTGCTGAGCCGGCTGGGGGTCGCCGGCCAGTGGCGCTTCGAGGACGTCCTGGGCCTGGAGGAGGAGTCTCTGGGCTCGGTGCCGGCGCCGGCCTGCGCGCTGCTGCTGCTCTTCCCGCTCACGGCGCAGGTAGGGCGTGGGGCCCCGGCTGCGCAGGCTCCGCGCCGCCCCCGAACCCGAGCGAGGCGTTGAGGACGGCGTAGGGTCTCCTCCCGTCCCGGCCCCCCAGGCCTGGCACACTGCCTTTTCCTTGTCGGGGATGGAGGGAGAACTCACACTTTCCTGGTTCCTTACTCCCTGGGGGTCCTGTTGATTGAGTTTATTGCGTTATCTCTCGTCCAGCCGCGTTGCCTTAAACTTGGAAGAGAAACAGCATCTCAGTTCCATCATCCTCGTTATCCCGGAAGATTGTTCATCCTACTCGGGAGGCAGGTTGAACCTAGGCTTTTCCAAGCTTTTCACGCCAAGGAGTGGCTGGCCGATTGTTGGCCTTTAAGGCCTGTGATCTGTCGTTTTATTGTCGGGTTCTGTCTCAGACTCTCACCTTGGTGTAAAATGGAGGGATCCCGGCATGCCTAAACACCGAGAAAACAATAGGTTCTTTAATTTTACGCCTCTAATGCCTGGGCCTTCAGTGGATGCAGGGGTTTCTTACCAACCCCCCACTCCCTACAACTTACACACTTGTGTTTTTTAGTTTCTTACATGTTCTTCTAAAGCTTAATCACTGTGCCTGGTTCCTGTGTGGAAATCACCTTCTAACTCGCTGACCTTGTAGCTCATTGAACAGGTGGACATTAGACCTGTCTTGGAAATGCTTTTTCATTTCTCTTTAGGTGGTCTTCCTCCTGCAAGTGTGCATGGATGTATCTCAAAGACTGAGTATCAGATATAAAAAGGTAGCTAGGGTGATGGTCTTTGGTGTACGGAATCCCACTGATGAGCATGTCTTTGTCTGTGTTCAAGTGCTGTCACTCGATCCCTGATTTAGGAGTGGTTGAATTTTGCTTAATTGACACTCTGGGGGCATTAGCCTATGGGGCATCATTTCAAACAGTGAGTTTAACTCAAGCAGCATCCTAAAGCGACATTTCTAGAAACATCCTCAGCATAAATTAAACCTGTGGAAAGTTCAGGCGTTCGTCCAGTGGCCAAATATTGGGGGTCAAAAACAGTTACTCAAAGGTATTAGGATAATCCCACTGACATGTTTGTTACTGAATTTTCACTTAGGTGAAAATGGAGTTCCTGGATAATTGCAAGTCAAAGTATCTCCCTGTAGATCAAATCAAATGCAGTTTTCTCTCATTTGAGCCTCTCACAGAGGAACCATGATGACTCGGGGGTTTTTGAGCAGCAGCCTTCAAAAGGCAAGGCCTCTGGGAGGCAGTGGAGAAGCGTATTTGTCTTACAAAAGCCCATGGTCTCATTTTGCTGGATCAAGCAGCTCTTGGTTAGAGACCATTCTGAATTGAACATTTTGTGCTTGAGAGAGCTTGATACTTTTTCCTTTAGCTCTAGTTAAGTCTATCGGATTCAGTGAATGCCAGTTTTGCAGCGCAAAACACCTGGGCTAAGCAAAACACCTCCTGGGCTAAATACTGAAGCAAATTCAAAACCAGTTGAGGTTTATAGGTGGACTTCCAAAAAGCTAATGTTAATTTAGAAAGCATCTAATTTTGTCAAAGAATATTGTGAAATCCTAAATGGACTACTTCTAAAACATTTTAAGTGATCATGAAATATTTACAGAAGTCTCACCATGCCAGAGTTCAGACAACCATAAAGGATGATGCTACCCCATTATGAAAAATTAAATCTTTTTTTAGAAAAGTGAAAATCCTTAACAGTCGATGGAAGCTCAGTTCAAGTACAGTAGATAGATATATGATGCTAGAACTTCCTACTCCTTGGAGTTTGTTGATCTTATGTGGCAAGAGAGCTTATTCCTCTGATGGTACCACAGACAAAGCTGAAACTTCAATTCCATGTAAAATAATGCAAGGCTACTAGAATTAGAAACACATGTACTTCTGGGGTTCTGTACGATTTATACTGGTTGTAAACATTAGCGTTTCTCTGGTGTATAATTGCTAAAGAAACAAGTGTCTCTGATTTCTTACAAATTTTTGTGAACTCACAATCCAGCATGCTAGACCAGTTGTCTTTCCTCCCTAAAAGTTGTTTAGTTGCTCAGTCGTGTCCGACTCTTTGCAAACCCATGGACTGTAACCCACCAGGCGCCTCTGTCCATGCGATTCCCAGGCAAGAATAACTGGAATGGGTTGCCATTTCCTTCTCCAGGGGATCTCCCTGACCTGGGTATCAAACCCGTGTCTTTGCATTGCAGGCAGTTTTTTGTTAAAAAGATGAGGGAGTCGTGAATTTCTTTAAATTGCTCCTTTCTGTAGTTTTGTTTTTGAAGTGACACGTGCTTGGACTAGAATAACTTCAGAGAATAACGAGGTCTAAACTAGCTGGTGCTCTTGGGCTTTCAGTTGACCAATGCTTGATGGGAATGCACGTGTGAGATGCAGTTGTTGGCGTTAAAAGGAAGGAAAGAACAAACTTGTCTGTTTTTCTGACTTAATCATGCCATCCATCTCAAGCTAAAAGGTGGCAGTGGTGTCTGGATAAACTTGGGCTACAATCCAGGGCTGCTACTGCAGTGCAGCTGCGGGCTGGGGTGTCTGCACCTCTCAGAACCCCACGCGCTGACTTGGTACGGGAGGCAGACGGGCCATCCTCCGGGTGCCGGCCAGCACCTCGGACCGGGACTCCTGGTCACATATCCCTCCTGTGTCTCCGTTTAGGCACTGTGCTTTGCGTTTGCATTTTGAGGTGTAAAAATGTCTTCTTGAACTCACAGCATGAGAACTTCAGGAAAAAACAAATTGAAGAGCTGAAGGGACAAGAAGTCAGTCCCAAGGTGTACTTCATGAAGCAGACCATTGGCAACTCCTGTGGAACCATCGGACTCATTCACGCGGTGGCCAATAATCGGGACAAGCTGGAGTTCGGTGAGTGGGTTTTGAGGCCAGTTATCCTCTAGTTGATCTTCAGTTAACCGCAGTGCTTCCTTCCAACACTCGCAAGGGTCTACTCGGCAAAATCATCGCCTTAACCTTTTTTTTTTGGAAAACCTGCTTAGGCATATAGGATCAGCAGGTGAATTCTCATTGTTCCTTCTCTTTCGAGGAAGGGAAGCTCCTTTTCTAAGAAGCATGGTGTGGCTTCCTCCACCTGGAGTGGCAGACTCTTGGGCTCTCCCGTGAGCAGACAGCAGAGTGTTGTGATTCTCATGTGCTCCTGGTCTAGTCTCAACAGTTCTAAAGAGCTGGAGTTGATGTTAAACCATAAAATACCAGCCTTTAGGACCTTTGTTTAATGATGCAGTGTCTCATAAGCAACAGGAGAGCTGACATGGCCTAAAGCAGCAGGAGACCGTGCAGGGGCATAGCCACAGCCCAGCACCTTGAAAGGTCCATCTCTGAACAAAGCTGCGTCAGGGGTTCTAGTCTGCCTCCCGCGGGTGCTGTGGAGGGCATAGAAGAGATGAGTCTTAGCCCTGAAGTGGGCAGAAGCTCAGTTAACAGTGCTAACAGTGCTAAAGTTCATGCATTGTATTATGAGTTAGGCCAAGGGTCAGCACATTTAAAAGCTAGAGAGTAAGTCTAGCTTACTCTTGCGTTTAGGCTTTGAGGGCCCTATGTTCTCTGCCCTTGTAGCGCTAGCAGAGCGGCCTTAGACAAGATGTAAAGCAGTGGATGTGGCTGTGTACCAGTAAAACTTTATTTACAAAGATAGGCAGCGGCAGTTTGCCAGCTCCTGATTTAGACGGTGGGTGGGGGTGGCTGAGAACTGAATAACTTCATCTAAGAGTCCATGCTGTTGTTTGTCGCAGGTCAGATCCTTTTTTAACAAAGGAATTGTGGCCAGACTCTCTACTCTTTGTATACTTTTGAAATTGAAAAGGAGGGGGTTATCCAGCCATAAAGGGACCAGATCTTCTAGAAGCTACTTTTTCAAATAATTGACTCAGCATAGTCATATTGAGAAGTTGTAGCTTGGTCCTTTTTACCGCTTCTGCAGTGAGGATCATTCTGTTTAGAATGCTCTATTCCAGCAGCCGCAGATACTGTCATTCTGTAAACATGGTCCTGACGGTGCCATAGGCTTCATCTGAGTCATAGTCCTCATAAAGTTACGAGGAGTTTCCTATAACTTCCGAATTTTGATTGGTGTGCATTTAGCAAATCTGATGAAGTTTAGAGCCGAAAATTCAAATCAAGGTCTTTTGAAATGCCAGTTGTTGTTGCTTCATACACACTGAGCAATGGAAAAATGTTTACACCAACCATCGGCTAGTCAGCTATTCTAGGCCAAACTGTTAGGCACTTCGCATTTCAGGTCTTTAGGTTGATGTCTCTCTGGATACCCGTATTACTAAGATTGCTCTTCTTTGCCCTGAAATAAGTCTTGGTTTGAGAACCATTACTCGGTTTGAATGTTGCATCATGTATGCAGTAAACATGCATTATGTGTTGGTAGCTGCTGTAGATGACAGGACTAGACAAGACAGTTCTGCTTTTATGGCATCAAAGATCTTACAGATACGTACTACAGTTGGATCAGTGCCGTAACAGATGTGATCAGAGAGATGAGGGTGAGGTGGAAGATGGAGGGGTTGGGGAGCCAGGGAGAAGATGTAAGGAGGAGCCTGAACCCTAGAAGGGAGAGTTCTCTGGTTTGAATGCAGTGAGAAGAGTGGTTGGAGAAAGAGGCTGGGGAGGGGACAGCTCATTCCCATCTTTTGAGGCCATGGTAAGATCGCAGGTTGCCAAACATGACCAAGGATGCGATGTCTTCGGTCATCAGTAAACGTGCACCCGTTCACACTATACCCGTACTGATGATGCTTTTTTTCCCCCCTCAGAGGATGGGTCCGTTCTGAAACAGTTTCTCTCTGAAACAGAGAAGTTGTCCCCTGAAGACAGAGCAAAGTGCTTTGAAAAGAATGAGGTAGGAAGGGAACTTCTAGAACATTGATTTTTAGTCCTCTGGAGGTTTCTGTGCTGACTCTAATCTGTTTTCCACAGGCCATTCAGGCAGCCCACGATGCCGTGGCACAGGAAGGCCAGTGTCGGGTAAATACAAGTTAAAGCCAGGAGGTCCAGGTGACCTCTGTTTCCCCAGAAACATGAGCAAAAACCTCTCCCCAGGATCCAGCACATGTGTCTACTCAAGGCCGAGGAGTGCCAGAAAGTTCTACCAGAATAATGCCCTGACCAGACCTGTTCATAAAAATGGCTCTGCAAAATGTCCAATTGGCACTTGACACAGTCTTGAGTAAATTCGGGCTGATAATGTTTTATGTAGACTCAAATGGGTCTAGTAGAGTGAGTAACACCCTTCTTAGTAATGAACATTTTAGATACTCTTAGTTGGAGAGCAAGCTAGACCAGCAAGGACTCACAGTTTCTAGATGACTTACGTACCAATAATAACAGAGCCTTCGAGTCAACTGTTAGATTTAAGTTTGTGCAACCCTAGTTGGCTCTGCCATTATCTGGTCTTGACCTTGGGTGAGATGCTTATCCTCCTGAAGTCTTCATTTCCTCCTCAGTAAAAAGCAAGTCTTAAGAGTTCTGTTAGTTACTGTGTATCTACTTCAATGGTCTTAGAATAAAACCTAATATATAGGAAATAGATATTAGCTCTAATCATTTAAAATAATACATAGGCAAGTTGGTTCAAGGATATTCCACTTAGGGACTTTATTTTTTAACAAATTAGGTCCTGCTTATTGTGTATTGCGAAATACAGGCATCAGATCAACAGATGTACACCTTAAACTTATGCAGTGTTATGCCATTTATATCTTAATTTTTTCTTTCAGCTTTATTTTTAAATGCAGTATATAACAATAAAAATTCTCATTTTCGAAAATATGTCCTGATTCTCTTCAGGTAGATGACAAAGTGAACTTCCATTTTATTCTGTTTAACAACGTGGATGGCCACCTCTATGAACTTGGTATGTTTCACTTTTGGAATCTAATATAACTGCATTCTCACACAAAGTTCCTCTTACAGTACTGGTGTGGGCCTTTATGGCCGCACTTAGTATATCTTTAAGAAGCCGGAACACCATGGTATTCTTATGGGGGCGTTTAACCCTTGTCATGCCCAGGATATCTCCCTCAGGCAGCTGACCAGTGGAATGAATGGATTTAGTCACAAACCAGTGAGGAGAATTGGTCAGCCACTTCAAGATACGCATTCAGATTCTGTCTTCTGCCTTCTACTGTAGCATCACCAGTATAGAGTCTCCACCATCATCCTTTTCAGATAAGGAATACTTTTAGAAGGAAATAAATACTTAAACATGACCTGATCTGTGTAAAAAGAATTTAGATATGTTGGGATAATTCCCATTAGCTGGCAACAAGGAAGATCATCCATCTCTGTTTTAGGAGTCATCCCCTTTATTAATGGGGAAAGACTTGGAGCTGTGTTATCTCAAGCCAAGATACTACCTGTGGGCAAGCAAGGGCAAAGAAAACTTGGGGCCAATCAGCAGTTGTTGAGGGACACATGAAATCTCAAAGATCCCTTTGTCTTGCCTCCGCCTCCCCTGTATCTCACAGACTGCATCTAACTTTTGCGCTGTGGTTCTTCCCAAGAGATGGGCACAAGCCCGGATGTTAGGTCACTAGGTTGGGCTTGTGTGGTCCTGGCGCTTGTTGATTAGAATGCCTGGGATGGATGTTAGGAATACTTGAACCTCATTTCCAGCCTGTTTGTAGGCAGCCTTCCCTTGGTGGGAGTGGTAGTTGTATTTGGAAGAATCTAAAGCTTGCCTTTACGTGGGACAAGCACAGTGGCCAGAAAACACGCAGAGAGAATCGACGTGCCTGGCTTCTCTGTTTCAGATGGACGGATGCCTTTCCCGGTGAACCATGGCACCAGCTCAGAGGACTCGCTGCTGCAGGTAATCTTCGGCATCCATTTCCACTGGGGCCCACATTGTGTTAGCCAGTTTGTCTCTTCTGAAAGGCAGACTTTTTTTGGTACAGCCAGCATCAATCACCTGGGATAAGAGCAGTCTCTCGGGCTTAAAGATCATCTTAGTAATTCTTTCTACCTCACTTTATGCTTTAGAATGGCACTGATTAATAATCTGTCTCATGTTCCGTCTTTAGCCCACAGTTAGAATTAGCCTGAAAGTCACTCCTTACTTCCTGTGGGATTAAGGTGACAATTGTCCTTTTGTCAGATTACATCATAGCCAGTGACTCAGACTCACGGAACAGTAACCCAAGCCTTGCCTAATCCCTCTCTGACAGCTGAGTGTGGGTCAGTCTTGAACTGTGAATTCTGGTTAGGTAGTTAACTCTGGAGTTTTTTCTTCCCACATGGTTGCTCCACTGTTAACAGGTCAAAAGAAGCAAATTCACAACATGCCTGAAGAGGACTTTAAGATCCAGGGTCACTGTGTAACCATCCTGGTACAAGTGACTGCAGATAGCTCTTAATTCTAAAGCAGAGCTGGCGGACTAGTCCACTTCACCCTAAAAATGAATCTAGAGTTGATTCAGTTTGCTCTTATAAAGGGAAATTGCTTAATTGTAATAAAATTGAACATGACGTTAAGATATAATTTCTTCATTTGTCGTAATAAAAGCTAAACTCTTCTGCTTGCTTATGTGCAGACAGGGAGTTGGCAAAAACTTATTCTGTGATGAGCCAGGAAATATTTTAGGCTTCCTGTGGCATATGGGCTCTGGTGCATGTATTCACTTCTTCTGTGACGGCTCCAAGGCAGCCCATAGGCAATGTCTAAATGAATGCGTATGGCTGTGTTCCACTTAAACTTTATTCACAAAAATAGGCAGGCTGGATTTGGCCCACACGTTGCAGTTTGCCGACTCCAGGCTAGATGCTGTTCTACTTTAATTACCTGTTTCACAGAGTCCTTTTAATGATGCTATGAGGTAGTTATTCACATTTTACAGATGAGGAAGCTGAAGTGCAGAGGTAAGTGATGCCCACGGTCAATGACAAGCTGTTGAATCAAGCTTCAAATCTAGTTGATCTGTCTTTAGAGTCTGTGCTCTTAGCCACTGTGCGATACTGCCTTTATAATAGACCTGTCTTTGGAATGTCATAAACCTGGTGATCTCAAAGTGTTAGTGGACCAAATGATGCCATTCTTGGAGGGGGGGTCACTTTCTCTAGCCAGCTTTCATATCCACCTGCGATGAGTCAGAGCTAATTCTTGGATATACCAGGGGTACATGAGAATGGTGATATGGAATGAGAAATAGACCTAGAGAAACAGGATGGAGGTTTGCATGAGAGTTGGGATTCACTTATGGGAGAGAAAAAGAATAAGGGCAGTAATTCTTGTTGCATCCTATTTGGATTAAAGTTTCCCAGGTGCATACTTAACTCCTGTCTAAGGTTATCCTAGTAAACAGGTACGCCTCACATTGTGGGTTCGGTTCCAAACCATCACAATAAAGTGGGTATCTCAAGAGTTGAATTTGTTTGGTTTCCCAGTGTATATAAAAACTATGTTTAGGTGTACAATAGTGTTTTGTCTAAAAAAAACAATATGCAGAGCTTAATTTAAAATACTGTTAAGAATTGCTGTGATCTGAGCCTTCAGTGAGTCAGTATTTTTGCAATAGGAACATCAAAGATTACTGATGACCATAACAAGTTTAATATTAATGAAAAGTTTGAAATACTGTGAGAGTTACCAAAATGTGACACACACAACCAGGTGAGCAAATGCGCTGGGGAAGTGCTGCCGGGAGACTGACTCCATGGAGGCTTGTTACAAACCTTCAATTTGTGTGAAAAGAAAATGCAGTATCTTCAAAGCGCAGTAAAGTGAAGCGCAATAAAATTCGGTATGCCTGTACCATAAAACGTGCTCTTCATAGAGTACCTAAAACTGTTCTGTGAGTAGAATTTGGTGTGGGGAAGGTAAAAACCTTTTTGTTTAAAAAAAAAAAAAAAAAAAAGCTATATTACAGTCAGCCAGCATCTTAATCAGTGGGAATTCTTTTCCTAAGACTGGTCCTACATGGTTAGAGGTGTTTTAGGTTATCTAAGTGAAAGTCACTCGGTCGTGTCTGACTCTTTGCCACCCTGTGGACTATACAGTCCAGGGAACTCTCCAGGCCAGAATACTGGAGTGAGTAGCCTTTCCCTTCTCCAGGGGATCTTCCCAACCCAGGGATCGAACCCAGGTCTCCCCCATTGAAGGCAGATTCTTTACTGCCACCAGGGAAGCCCAGGAACACGGGAGTGGGTAGCCTCTAGCTTTTACAGCAGATCTTCCCGACCCAGGAGTCGAACTGGGGTCTCCTGCACTGCAGGCAGGTTCTTTACCAACGGAGCTGTCAGGGAAGCCCTAGGTTATACTCCAAATAAACTTGCTCAACTGGTGAGAAAATACAGAAACTTAGCCCAAGTATCTTAAATTTGAGTGAATTAGGTCACTGCTTATTGTGTATGTAGCAGTTGGCTACTGTCTTTACACTCTTAATGTTAATGGACACTATGGGTCCTAAAGGAAAGTGGATTTGGGGAAGGCAGTCTGTAATACCAGTGTATTAAAAATTCTCATAGAATGTTACTTTAGATCCCCTACAGTTTTTCCGAGTGGTGCAAAACCTGGAAGAAAACCAGGATATGGTTGATGCTTTTTAAGGGCTGAAACTCATCAAGTTGGTGATATTTTAGACCTTGGGAACTGGTGTTCCGTGGTGGTATTCTGTCAGAGTATCCAATAGCCTCTTAAAGGTCTTATATTTAATATTTTGGTTGGACTTTCTTTCTACTGGACTTTTTACAAATTGAACAATGATCGATACTCTGATTCCATTACATTTAAACCCTAGCATTCAGCAGGTAACATTGGGACCAATTTTCTGTCCTTATTCTTTGTAATTTGGGTTTTAAAATTAGTGATTCATGGCATTCCCTAAATATGTAAGCAGTTATCATTTACCTGTACCTGGAATACCAGCTATTTAAATTTTGTAGAATGTTTACTTTTCCCTGGAGAAGGAAATGGCAACCCACTCCAGTATTCGTGCCTGGAGAATCCCAGGGACAGAGGAACCTGGCGGGCTACAGTCCACGGGGTCGCAAGAGTGGGACACGATATCACCACCAAAATGTTTACTTTTCCGTAATGAAGAGAAACCAATTTTCTGTCTCTGGATTTGAGGGAAAGAGCGTGTACTTGTCAAAACCAGGCCCACGGTGCAGGCGCACAGAGCATTTGCTAGTGGTAATAATCAGAGCTTCCGAAGCCACGTCTGTGATGTGGGTCCTTGTCTTTCCCATCACCTGATATTTTTTCCCCTCTTGTCTTACGCCCTGGTTTTCAAGTTTGTTGGGAGGTTTAGTGTTGGTCAGGGTGCACTTTGCGGGTCTCAGTGACAGTTTTCCCTTGAAGTGTTCGTTGTGAGCTGGTGGTGTTCGAAACTTAATTCCCAACTCTCCTCCCCCCCAGGACGCCGCCAAGGTCTGCAGAGAATTCACTGCGCGCGAGCAGGGGGAGGTTCGCTTCTCGGCTGTGGCCCTCTGCAAGGCAGCCTAATGCCCCGCGCGGGCACTCTGCTTCGCCCCTCTTCCCTCCGTTGTGAGCGTGTCTCCCCCCAAAGCTGGTGTACAACGCTTCAGTGCTTGCAGAGCACAGCGTCCTCCTTCGGGTCCGCAGACCAGCACCCACCCTCCACCGCGCCCCCGCGCCGGCAGAGCTCGGCTGTCGACGGAGCGCGTTTGGCATCAGCCTGCGATGGCGAAGCTCCCCGCCCTGTGTCTTGCACCTCAGTATCTAATGCTTTAATGGCTACTTCGGTTTGTGTCTGTAAGTTAAGGCCTTGGATGTGGTTTGTCCTTCAAAGGAATAAAGTTTTTCTGCTGATAAAGAGATAAGCCTAAACTGGTTTTCATTTTTTCTTCCCCCCAATATATCCCAAAGTTTCATAGCAATTACATACATACCTTCTGTATAAGAACTTATACAGTACTGGGAATAAAATTACCGTGAAAATACTATCAGTTCAGTGTGATTTTAGATTTTTCCCTATCAGTCCAGTCGCTCAGTCGTGTCTGACTCTTTGGGTCCCCGTGAACTGCAGCATGCCAGGCCTCCCTGTCCATCACCAACTCCCTAGAGTTTACCCAAATGTATATGTTACTGTGTGTTCCTATAGGTTTTTTTTTTAATTAGACTTTTTTTGCAGCAATTATTTTTATTGAAACAAGTTGATAATACATTGTTAGTTTCAGATGTACAACATAGTGATTCAACATTTAAATAACATCATGAAATGACTACCACGGTAAGGCTAGTAACTACCTGTCCCCTTAAAAGGTTAACGCAGTGTTAGTGATCATGTTCCTTATGCTATAAGTAATTTTACGGAAAAACAGATGATATTAGAGTTCTCATGTACCCCTCATCCATTGGTGGCGCAAATGCTAAAACATCTGCCTGCAATGCAGGAGCCCCGGGTTCATTCCCTGGTGGAGAAGATCCCCTGAGGAAAGGAATGGCAACTCACTCCAGTGTTGCAAGGAGAATTCCATGGACAGGAGCCTGGTGGGCTACAGTCCATGGGGTCGCAAAGAGTTGGACACAGCTGAGCAGCTAACACCCCCTCATCCATTTACCCCATTTCATCTTCACATTTGTCGCAATTAATGAACTGATTGATAATATGGGCTTCCCTGGTAGCTCAGCTGATAAACAATCTGCCTGCGATACGGAGACTTGGGTCAGGAAGATTCCCTGGAGAAGGGAACGGCTGCCCATTCCAGTGTTCTTACCTGGAGAATTTCATGGGCAGAGGAGCCGGGTGGGCTACAGTCCATGGCGTCACAGAGTCGGACATGAACGGTTTTCACTTCACCTTGAAAATACTGTTGACTGAAGTCCACACCTGATTCAAATTGCTTTTGTTTTTACCTAATGTCTTCTTCCTTTTGAGGATCGCATCCAAAATACTCTTTAAGGTTCCTCTTGGCTATGACAGTGTCTCAGGCTTTGACAGTTTTGAGGAGTACTGGTCAAGTGTTTGGTAGGATGCCCCTCTCGGGATTTGCCCAGTATTCTCATAACTAAGGTTATGAGTTGGGGGGGTGGAACACCACAGGTAAAGTGCTGGTCTCAGCACGTCGTTTCAAGAGTGCATACCAACTTGCCTCATGTTTATGTTGGCCTTGATCACCTGGCTGGGTAGTGGTTGCGTTTGTGCATAGTAAAGCTCCTCCCACCCGGACCCACCGTATAGCAGAAGGAGGTCTGCACAGCACCGCTTGTAGGAGCAGGGAGTTTGATTAAGCTCTGTCTCTCCTTGAAGGTGGAGTATCTATAAATTATTCAGACTTCTTTTGTAAGGGAGCTTTGTCTCTTGTCACCTGTTTATGCAATCAGTATGAACTGGATATTTTATACTCTGGGTTATCATCTAGTACCTCGTGTTCTAACTGTTCTAGCTTTGGGCATTGAGAGCTATTTCAGTTGGCTCCTGTGTCCCCTTGACATGCCTCAATCAATGAGGCTTTTGCTTTTTTTCCCTTAATTTCTTTTCAGAAGTTAGTTTTTAAAAAAACTAATGTATTTGCCATTTTAATAAACCTTAACTAATTTGTAGATAAGGGTACACTAATGTAATTTACAAGCTTGGATTAATGTTAAATGACATTTGTTCTCAACGATTGATACTTGAATATAGCACTTCCTTTCTAGTTGCAGGAATTCAGGACCTCAGGGAAGAAACCCCAGACCACCCTCCCTTAGTCTGATCTTCACAGAAGCACTTTATCTTGTCTGTTGCCAGAAGCCCAGGTAGCTTGGGTCTCAGCTGCCTTAAAGTTTTCAGCTCTTGACTATTCTATGGTGATAATACTTCGGATTCCAGCTTCTAAGTGAAGGATATTTTGGTTCCTAGGAGCAAAGTGATCACTGCTGTTAACATTCTTCTAATGTAGACAATTAAATACACAGTTACTCAGGTGATTTTTAAGTACCTGGAGCTGAAACCAGGGTGATGCATTTTCAGTTCTGACTTGGTGTGTGAATTTCATGGTCACCATTTAGATTGACTTAGGGGAAAGGAAACAGAACAAGACTCCTTTCCATTAACAGAAGCTGGTGAAAATACTGCTTTTCGTCTTAGAAATACAAATTATACCACTAAATGTAGCTATAAGACTTTATGCATGAGAAGCGTATTTATTAAAATGCTCTCAAACTCTAACACACCTTAGCAAGTCACACCATGGAGGGTCATATAATAGCTGATGTATGTGGGTGATTGCAACCCTGAAGGTGCAGAGAAATTTCACTTTTACTGAGGACCACAGAGAGTAGTTTATGTGCCCAAGTTCTTACTGCTAATTACTGGGCAAATCAGGACTTAGGCTGTGGAATGACCACCTAGAGGAAGTTGTCCTTATTTCGGAGTCAATATAATAACTCCACTCTGCCTCTTGGTAACTTTGGACAAAGGAATTACCATCTTCCTCATTCACTGTTTCATGTTAAAATGGACAGCACAGAGTGAAAATGTCTGGGAAGGGCCTGGCTTCTAGAAGTTTCCTTCTAGTACCAGCATCTTGCCCACTGCCCTCCCTGAGACCTCAGCCATGTGTAACTCCAGGAGGTACCATCCGCTTTGTGTTCTGTGTGAGGGCAGTATCTCCTGGAGCTGTGGGACTCAGAGGTTCTGTTTCTTCAATGAGCCTTCTTTATTGAGGACTTGGATTTATTAAGGATCATGTCCAGTTGGCTTATTCCTTAAAATGGTATTAATCTTTGGCTATGAAGGTGACTTTGGTCTTTTTTTAAATTGAAGTATATAGTTGCTGTATAATAGTATATAAGTTAAGGGTGTATGATATGCTGGAGAAGGGAATGGCTTTCAAAGGTTATTCTCCCTTTATAGCTATAAAATACTGACTACGTTCCTCTTGTTGTACAGTGAATCCTTGTAGCTTATTTTATACCTAATAGTCTGCACCTCTTAATCCCCCTCCTCTACACCGTCTCTCCCCTCTTTCTGTGAGTCTGCTGCTTTTTGTTATAGTCACTAGTTTGTTGTATTTTTTAGATTCCACATATAAGTGTTGTTATAAATACTTGACTTTCTTTGTCTGATTTACTTCACTCAGCATGATGCCTTCCAAGTCCATCCATATTGCTGCAAATGGCAAAATTTCACTTTTTTTAATGGCTGAGTATTTTAGTGTGTGTGTATATATATGTGTGTGTACACACAAGCACACACACATATATTTATGCACACACACCACATCTTCCTTATGCATTCATCTGGTTCATGGACACTTAGGTTGCTTCCCCATCTTGGCAATTGTCAATAATGCTGCTATGAGCTTTTAGAATTAGTGTTGTTTTTTTTTCTTTCTGTCTGTATTTACAGGAGTGGAATTCTTAATTTTTTGAGAGGCCTCCATACTGTTTTCCATAGTGGCTGCACCAATTTACATTCCCCTGCAGCCGAGTATGAAGGTTCCCCTTTCTCTGCATCCTTGGCAAGACTTATTATTTGTGTTCTTTTTGATGACAGTCATTCTGACAGGTTTGAGGTGATATCTCATTGTGGTTTTGATTTCCCTGATGATAAGTGATATTAAGCATCTTTTCATGTGCATTTTCTTTTAGGAAAAATGTCTTTAGTACTTTTGCTCAATTCTTAATTAGAATTTTTTTTCATGTCGAGTTGTATGAGCTGTCTACATATGTTCGATATTAATCCCTTAACAGTTACATCATCTGCAAATATTTTCTCCCATTCAGTAGGTGTCTTTTTGTGTTGCTAATGGTTTCCTTTGCTGTGCTAAAGCTAAATTTAATTGGGTCATATTTGTTTATTTTTGCTTCTATTTCCTTTGCTTTAGGAGACAGATCCAAAAAAAAAAATTCTGTGATTTATGTCAAAGAATGTTCTACCTGTGTTTTCTTCTGGAATTTATAGTATCCAGTCTTACATTTAAATCCTTAATCCCTTTTGAGTTTATTTTTTTATGTGGTGGTCAAGAATATAATGAAAGTGACTTTTTAGTGTTTTCAGCAGGCAATAGGAGAAGCCACCTGATGCTAAGTATCCCCACCCCCACCCCCCACTTAAAAAAGTTATTTTTGGCCACAGCATGCCGCATACGGGATTTTTTTCCGCTACCGGGGATCAAATTCACACACACCTCCTTCAGTGGAAGCCAGGAGTCTTTATTTACTTCAAAGATGATTTTATGCTTTGGAAGTAAAGTCTTATCCCAGGAAATGAAGGACACTTGGTAGCTTGGAGGAAAAGGAGAGATGGATCAAAGATAAGTGGTGATGAAAATTAAAACCATAGCACTTGCTATATTCCAGCACTTCACAAGTATTGTCATGTGCTAGGAGCTGATGGCACAACCCTCAGCTCTCAACCACAAGCTGTGCTGCTGGGAGCAGCCCCAGGAGACCGTGGACAAGGGGGATTGTCAAGAACCAAAGTAAAGTAGTAGCACCTGGATCATGTAATTGGTTTTAGTTGAATAGGTCACAGCTACGAGTTGCCTAGGGAGACAGGACAACCACGTGTCCGTCCATTTTTGCCTCATTCTTTGCAGTGAGTGGGTTTCATTCTATTTCACATCAAGACATGAGTAATACAAGTCTACTCTCTTGTAGGCCACTGATTTTTAAGAAGGGAAGCATGATTTGAATTTTAAAGTATAACTTTCTAAGGACAGAAGAGGGGTTTTGAAAATGAAGATCCATAGGTTTATTTACTATGGTCTCATAGAAGTATCTCTAGTCATTACAAGAAGCAACATTTAAATGTCCAGTGCTTCAGTATTTAAGTTCAAACTGAGTGGCTAATACTGAATCCTTAGAATTCGCAGTGACGTCCGACTCTTTGTGA